ACTCAGTTACAGAAATGAGTCCTAATATTCCATAGCAGAGGAGGATATCTATCGTTAGCAATAATATATTATATATTTCAAAACAGCTAGAAGGAAGGACTTGAAATATTACCAATACATAGAAATGATAAATGCTTCAGGTGATGGATACCTCAAATACTCTGACTTGATCGTTACACATTGTATGCATGTAAAAAGTACTTGCAGTATGGTACCCTCATTAATATATAAAATATGTATCAATAAAATAAAAAAGAATAAGCTAGAAAAGAAAGGTCATAGTCTAATATGATAAATGGATGTGTTGTTAAACCGTTACAACGCGGTAATTATTAGTTGTTACAGGGATTAGTTGTGATGGCTCTAAGCACATAAAATTAAAAGAACCCAGAGGAGAGTATAATTAACTTGGGGGGAGAAGGGAGGCGTGGGAGGTTCCTGAAAGGTTTCTGAGAGGAAGTGCCACTTGAACTGAGATTTAAAGAGCTTGATGGAATTAGGGTGAAAGGGAAGCCCACCTTAGAGGGATGGAACTACAGGAACAAAGGTAGGGAGATGGTTTAAATGAGAACTGCAAGTAATGTGTGTTGCTAAGTGTGGGATTTGGAAGGGAAAGACAGAAACTGTAAAGATGTTTGTGTGCAATCCTGAGGCAACTGGACTATTTATGTTGTAAGTGCTAGGGAACCGCTGAAAGATTTTTAAGCAATGGAGTGGCATAATCAGGTTTACGGTTTGGAAAGTCATATTAGTGATGGTGTCACATGATGAACACTTCTTATTATTTGTTTATTTAAAAATTTATTTATAAGTTGAGGGTTTGCTCTGTTGCTCAGGGTGGAGTGTACTGGCGTGATCACAGCTCACTGCCACCTCTAACTCCTGGACTCAAGGGATCTCCCACTTCAGCCTCCCGAGTAGCTAGGACTACAGGTGTGTACCACCATGCTTGGCTTATTAAAAATTTTTTTTTATAGAGATGGGTTCTCATTGTGTTGCCCAGGCTGGACAAGTGATCACTCCTGGGCTCAAGTGATCCTTCCTGCCTGGGCCTCCCAAAGTGCTGGGATTATAGGAGTGAGCCACAGGGCCTGGCCAACTTCACTTTATTTTGTTTGTTTGTTTTTTAGACAGGGTCTTCCTCTGTTTCTCAAGCTGGATTGCAGTGATGTGATCTCAGTTCACTGCAACCTCTACCTCCTGGGCTCAAGCGATCCTCCCATCATAGCCTCCTAGGTAGCTGGGACTAAAGGCTTGTGCCACCATGCCTGGCTAATTTTTGTATTTTTGTAGAGACAAGGTTCTACCATGTTGCCCAGGCTGGTCTTGAACTCCTGGGCTCAAGCGATCTGCCCCCCTTGGCCTCCCAAAATTCTACTATTACAGGCGTGAGCCACTGTGCCTGGCCCAGCTTCACATTTTTAGTGCTTTTGTATCTATTGCGGTTTCATCATATTAACATCTGAGACTATAGTATGTTTACTTCTTATCTCCTCGGGTCAATGTGAGAATAAAACAATGAAATATAAGGAAATGGGCTTTTAAACACCCATTGTATAAATGCTTTTTACATATGAGCAATACAGATCTGCTGTTCTTAGCTACAGGATATTGTAAGTTGGGTTTTTTAGTCATAAACTACCTACAAAGTTACGTGCTTTGTCAGTGATAATGCTATTTTAAGAAAAGGATTTTTGTCCTATCCAAATACTTTGAAGTTGGAATTGAAGGATCAAAGGAGAATCAGACTTTGAACTCAGGCAAACTTGGGTTTTAATTCCTCCTCAGTCCATGACAGTTGTGTTTACTTGGACAATTTACCAAACTTATCTTAGCCTCAGTTTCTTTATCAAAGGGGTCATGGTTGTGGTGATTAAATATAATAGTGAATGCAAACAATTCTGCTAACTCCTTGGCACATCAAATGCTCTATAAATGATAGCTTACCCATGGCCAGATGTTCTTCTAAGCACTTAATATGGTATCCTATTTAGACCTCCCAAGAACCCCATGAAGTAGGTACTACGATTTTCTCCATTTTCAGTTCAGAATCTGCTGAGAAAGGAAGAGAAACTTTGCTAAGGTCGTAGTGTCAAGAAGTAGTAGAGCTAGGACCTGAATTCAGGCAGTCTTTACTCCAAAGTCCAAGCTATTTACTGCTATGCTTTTGCCTCCTCTCTATGGAATACACTATTATTATATTAGCATATTAACCCAATGTTACCCTTCCAAGAATGCATGGGGCAAAAGCTATTTTTAAAAACAATCCCAAATGCTGCTTCTGCTCATTTTGACTGGTTCCTTAAATAGATGATTAAAATTACTAAGTGTGTGCTGACTATATGCATAAAACTGGATGCTACTGAGTGTCAGTCTCAGATGAAGGCTCACATATGCCTTCAGTGACCTTACTGATTGTGAAGGAGACATTTTTGAGAGACCTATGTCTATGCATGTGTGGTCTGTAAATGAATGACTCTCAGGGATCTAATGCTAACCCTTTTATTTCAAGAAGGTGTCCCATATGATACGTGGTTGTTACTTCATGAACAAATGTGCACATAAATGCATATCAAGCTGTAATAAAACTCTAGTAACCTTAAAGACTTACTGGGATAAGGGTTCAGACTCAGATTATAAACCAGTGGTCAGGATAGAAAAAAGAGATATGGTCTTGCTTTGTTTGGAGTAACAAAATTAGGCCAATTGCTGAGGAGGAGTGCTCCAGTTCTATCTCAAGTCAGTTTTCTTTTTTTCCATGAGTACACAATTTTTTTTTTCCAACTCATCCCTGTCTAAGCATTAATGGAAAATGGTCAATAGTTCACAACACCCAACGCTAACAAAGAAATAAAAAATCATGGAGGGCAAAAGGTCAGTATATATGAAAGGAGGAAATAGGGAAGGAAGATTTAGACAAGAGGTGAAGTTGACATAGGTCAGAGCGTCAACAATCAGCTGATTTATCTAATAATAGTAGTAGCAGTGAGGTATCATCCTGTCACTGTACTCCAGCCTGGATGACAGAGTGAGACTCCACCTCCTAAATAAAGTAGTAGAAGCAGCAGCTAATCCTTATATAACACCAGGCATTATTCTAAACTTCATTTACTATACAACTTTATGAGTCAGGCACTATTATCGCTGTTGTACTGATGAAGAAAGCTCAGAGAGGATAAGTAACTTACCTATGTGACACAGTAAGGAGTGAAGATTCTATCTACAGCAGCCTGACCTCACTCTTTTTTTTTTTTTTTTTTTTTTTTGAGACGGAGTCTTGCTTTGTCACCCAGGCTGGAATACAGTGGCATGATCTTGGCTCACTGCAACCTCCGTCTCCTGGGTTCAAGCAGTTCTCTGCCTCAACCTCCCAAGTAGCTGGGATTACAGGTCCCTGCCACCACGCCCGGCTAATTTTTGTATTTTTAGTAGAGACGGGGTTTCACTATCTCTGCCAGGCTGGTCTTGAACTCCAGACCTCGTGATCCACCCTCCTCGGCCTCCGAAAGTGCTGGGATTACAGGCGTGAGACACCACGCCCGGCCAATCATTACTCTTAAACACATCTATTTACATGTCTGGGTATCAGTTGGTTCCTCCAATGGACCCTTAAACTCACTCACTTTAGTATATGATACACATATATCTAATTTAAGGGAACTGTATCCATTTTACTCAGTTTAATGGACACTAGTACTATGTAGAATGAATAATAAGAGAGCAAGAGGGAGGTGACAAATATGGGACTGTTGTGAACCTATAGGCCCGCCGCGGAGCCCAGCAGCAGATGCGCCTGCGGGCTCTGGGGGGCAGAAGGGAGGGACCGCGCGGGCTGGTCCTCGGCAGCCTTGGGGCGGCCGGGCGCTCAGGCGCAGGCGCGGCCCGGCTGTCAGGCGCTGATGCGCGGGGCCACCTGCAGAGGCCTCCTCACCCCGTCCCCGGGATGTCCCCTAGACGTGGACCCCCGTGCCCTCCTTGCCCTGTGCTGTCACAGAGTGACCTGAATCCTACCATGCCAAAAAAATGGGTGGAAGAAAGTATTTCCAACCCTCCTCCCGATCATCCCTTACCGAGGGAGAGCCGCTGGCCCCTCAGCAGGGGCTTGCGCACGGCGGTGGAGCGATCTGCGGCTTTGTTTCTCAGGCACCTGTTGTGGATCCCAAATAGAAACGTCGCCCTTGGGGATTCGGGACCGGGCAGCCAGTGTCCGGGGGTGGGCGTGCTTGGCTGCACGGTCCACCCGGGTGGGCGGGCCTGGGGAGGGGGCCCGGGGCTCTGTGGCTCTGCCTGGGAGGGAGGGGCTGAGTGGCGCCGGGGACTGAGCTGAGCCAGCCGGGGCGCTGACCGCCGCGCTCGCCCCCTCCCTTCCGCCCTCCGCCCTCCACCCTCCTCCCTCCCTCTGTCCCCGGCGCGGGCGAGTGTCTGCAGCGCGGCGGCCAGGAAATGCCGCAGATGCGCCGCGCAGCATCCCCGGCGGAGGCAGCGCGCTGGTCCTCCCGCACCACCGCCGCGGCCTCGGCCCCAGCCCGACCCGGAGCAGGCGCCCCGTGCAGGGCCAGCAGAGCGGTCAGCACGGCCGCAGAGGGTCTGGGCGCCCGCCGGCCCCAGCCGGCCCTCGCCGCACTCCCGGCTCCTCAGCTTGGCGTGGCGCTGCACGTCGCCGCCCCTGGGCTCGCCGAGATTTGCCGCTGCTGAAACCCGAGAGGGACTCAGGCTCCTGGAGCGGGGCGGCCCACCCTCGGTCAGCCAGGAGGCCTGGGCGTTTCCTCTGCCGGCCCCGGCGCCTGGCGCCCGTCGCCCGCCACCTACTGCGCCCCCGCTCTGCGTCTTCGGCTTCCGCGCTCTTCCCCAGCCTGCTGCTCCTTCCTCTTTTCCAGTTCCCAAGGCTGTGTCTTGCTGACTACGTTACTGTCCGGGGGTTACGAGGGGGAGAGGGGAATTGGCCAGTCATCGCTTAGATAAACTTCGGCATGGCGGGTTACCTCTCCCCTGCTGCTTACCTGTACGTGGAGGAGCAGGAGTACCTCCAGGCCTACGAGGATGTCCTGGAGAGATACAAAGGTATGTGGTCCCTGCCCTGGGGCCGCGGAGCTTGGCACGGATCAGAGAGGCAACCGCTACCTTTCCTTAATCAGAGCCACCACTCCTTGGGCACGAGTAAACAGGTGTCTGGACCAGTTCTGGGAATGGACGAGGTCTTTTTGCATGGGATTTAGTACCCCCAGCGCAGGGAGGATGGTGGGGTGGGTGACAGTCTGGAGACGCCCTTAGATGAGCCGTAGAGATGGGGGAAGGGGTTTTGGTTTCCAAGAAGCACATTGCGTTTTCTCTTCCTTGTAAAAGCTCTTAAGCACTATGCATAATCATAATTCTTCCTGGGAGGGTGGATACTGATTATTCTCTATGGGATTACTAAGGCATTGCTGCTGCTGCTTGGCTAGGGTATTGGTTAGCCCTGTAAAAAAGGTTCAGCATCACTAGATCATTTTCCTTAAAATGATCTTACTTATTTGAAAAAGTTTGTGACTATATACTTACTCTGATGTATTGTAAAAATTATAGCGTGATTGATAAAAGACTTTAGTTAGTGAGTTTGTTGTAAATTTAAATGTAAAGAATATATTTTGAGATTTTGTTTCTGCCCATCCTTTATGTTCAGGAAATTCTATGCCAACCTGATATTTATGTTTTCGTATAATGTTTACTTTGACTTCATAGCTAAATATAATGACGAAATACAAATTGCAGCTGTCCGTTTTTTAAGTCTTTTTGTCTCTGGAAATGTGTTTTTAAGTGTGTATATACCATCTTTTTATTGTGGCTCCCAAAACACTCCGAACTCAAGAGCAGCTCAGAGAGGTTTAACGTGTTTATAGTGAATAGTGGCCCATGTCATAGGTAGGATTCAAATGGTTTTATTTCTTTTGAATATTTGCTTTGGGTTTGGTAACTCAATGTCTGCAAATGCAGTGGTATTGTATGGTTAACAGTACGTGTAGTTTTCTATTAGTAGAAAGTAGAAATAAAAAAAAAAATTGAACTAAATAAAATTCCAAATCCCCAGAAAGCTCAAATCCACTCACAATTGTTTTCTGTCTTTGTAGAGTATGTTTTATAACTGAAATTCTTGCAATCCATGTAGAATTTTGTAAACAATACAATGAGAATTCCTTTGTGCCAAGACTCTTATTGTGTATAATACTGCCACTGAGCAAGTGCAATGATATTTTAGGCTAAAGCACATTTGTGACATTTGTGTGTGTGTGGATAATATACTCATGTTTACCTCCATCACTCCATTTTAAAGTAAGGTTTGTAATTAGTTGTTCCCAGAGCTTTATAAAAGAGGAATATTGCAATTTAGACCAACAAACCTTACCGAAGAAATACATCTGTGCCCTATACAGTCAGAAACAAAAAAAATCTGAAAGTTCTAAAGTACATACATTTTATACTTTTGAAAAAAATTACAGCTGAATGAATTTTTGTCACATGAAGTTATACCTAAGTGACACGTAGGTGATTTCAGGTGACTGAAAACAAGTGCTTATTTGACTTTGTCTTAATGAAGCAGGCATTGTTTAAAAGCTTGTCTTTGCCTTTGGAAATAAAAGGAAATTAAAGATCTGAAGGCCAGTGTACAACAATCAGTATTGCCCTTAAACATATACATTTTCAAACATATTGTTTAGACGTCACTGAAAAAGTGATGGGAGTTTTCCTCATTTTACTTATGGTTTTTAAAATGCTTAGTTCATCAATTTGTACTTGGCTTTATAGTTGTGCTATGTTTATTTAGTCGTGGAAAGGAAAGTAAGAGTATTGGGCAGTGTATTCCATGAAAAGCTGAAAACCTGGAAAACTCATTGTTTCCCGATGTGTTTTGAAGCCAGTTATGATTTCCCATCAGCATCCAGTATGATGACTTCACTACAGTGCTTATTATCCTGATGACTTGCTGTGGGGACTGATCTAATCAGAAAAGAATTGTAGGCTTTGAATAGGGAGTGTCAATTCACTAAACGTTCAGAATACAGTTGCTCACTTTCTGAAATCATGCATTGTTCAAAACATTTTATGTTCTCATTTAAACTTAAAGAGAAGTTATTTTGATTTTTATTTCTGACAGAGTTCCTTGGTTACAGAAGGAGTTTGCATTCATCTAGAATATTATCAGGTTGCCAAGTTATCCTATGCCTCAGCTGTTGAGTAGTGTAAGTGGTGGAGTCAGCTGGAACCAATTCAAAATCTGCCTGTTGTCAGAAATGTAGAATTGTAATAATCCATAATGTTAGGAAATATAAGCATTACATTTGGAAGTCGAGAGCTTTGTTAGGCTTAGTCTTCAGACAGCCTTGAGAGGACTTCAAATCATAATCTCTGTAGAAAAACAAGAATAGTGGAGAGTGAACGCTAATTATTTATGTGTAGTCAGTCTATTCTCATATCTTGCTTTGATCCATTACTTCTGAGCAAAAATAGGCAACTGTTTGCTGAATTATAATAACACAGAAAGAGCTATTTGCTACAAAGAAGGGTGCAGTGTTCTGATTCATATTTGAGTCCCGTTACTTGTAAAATGTATTCATGAAATATTCAGGGCCATTTGATTAAAAAAACCATATTTCTTCAGCTGATACCAAACTCTGGCTGAATAAAGGCATTTATTTTTGAGTAAAACATAATTCTTTATTATTGTTTATGCTAGAAATTTTCTGACGGCTACTTTCTTTTATATCTGTAGTAAATTATCCAGTGTATATACGGTGTAATACAAAACATTCTTAGTAGCTTAGCTTAAAAGAAACAGTGGTATCTTGTTTTTCTTCTTAAGTGTAAGGAGACTAACCCATATGCTGTTGTTATAAATGATTAATTAGCTCTCATATTATGAAATTCTGCTTTTTGAGTGTATCATTGGAATATTTTGTTTTCTCAACACATTGTTACTTTGTAGTATGATGTTCAGTGAGAATATGAGATAATTAATGTGAATTCAATACATTTTATTCTATACTTTATAGATGTAATTTTAAAATGTTACATTATTTTGGTTCACCAAAATGGTTATTTTTCTATTGATCTGGAAGTAAATCCGTTGTTCCTAGACAATCGTAATGAAAGTGTTGCATTTATCATTCTCTATGAAAGCTGAATGGTCGTTTTGCTTACTTATCTATAATATCACTAACCCCACTCCACCCCACCACCCCTGCAAACTGCTGTTTAGGCAATAGGCAAAGTTTTCTCTTTTTTACAAATACCTTGTATAATTGCTTTAGTTTCTTCTCTCATTAGGGCTATAAAATCTGCTTATGTGCATGGTGACAAAAGGAACTAAGACTACCATAATTTTCATTTTCATTTCGGGTTTATTGCCTTTATTGATAGGTGATTAGTAAACATTCTGTCATTTTACTCTGTAAATTGGCTCGGACACTCCCTTGAAAATTGGAGTATACAGATTTCAAGGAATTTCTCTGCAGCGTGTAATGATCTAGCTCAGTGGTTTTCATTTGGCTTCTAGGATTCTGCAAAAACTTGATTTTGAATTTTTTCTTCTCATGCTCTATTCATAGGTAAATAGTTACATAATAAGTGAACTTTAACTGTGCTGCATCATAATAATGTTATATTGTAGCTAGTCATAATAGTATAAGTCTGGGATTTTTGTTTTCTTTTAAAAGTGAAACAGGCTGAATTTGCTGAGTGTTAGTTAAGATTATATTTGACTGTTTGTAACAGAAAACAAGTGATAGTGCTTAGCCAAGTAGATGTTTTCTTTTTCTCAGGTACTGAGAGGTCCTAAATAGGCAAAACTGGGTTGTAGGGTAACCCCATTTGCCAGAAGGGACTCAGACTCCTCTATTTCTGTGTAGCTATTTATAGTGTATCTTGTGGTGGTTTTGTGATCACAAGATGGCTGCTCCTCTTCCAGCCCTTATGTCTCCATTCCAGGGGACAGCTGCTCCAGGGGCCATCTCTATCTACAGGCAGACTAGAAAATGTAGATTTTAAAACTGGCTTCATTTAGTGCCCTGAACAAAATTGAAGTTTTGTTTGTAAAGAATAAGGAAAGAATGGCAACTGGTTTTGCAACAAGCAGTGTCTGGCATATGGAAGGCAGAGTGTCTGTGCTAAAATTGGAAACTTAAGATTTGGATACATATTAACAATCATCACACAATCTATTTGACTTCACTAAAGTTTGAGGAAGATCTGAGAGCTCCATGAGGTTTCTGAATATTTTCAAAATGACACAATTGAATGTTTTATGTTACAACATGGGTTTGAAAAATCATTCTCACCAAATAATTAGGATTAAATTGCGTTTATTGCCTCACACAATAAGGAGTGTGTATCAGTTCAGAAATGTGGGAAATTATTAGGTATTGTTAGTGAATTTAATTTTAAACTTCTACTGATTCTCTTTTCAGTTTCTTTTGTTCTGACTTAGAGAGTTATCTCAACATTTATTTAGCCCAGAGACTTTAAAAAGAAGGCTTATACTTTTTAAAACTTGTAGGGTTTTTTTTTTTTTTTTTTTTTTTTTGAGCAATTTGGAGAGCCTTATTTTCTGGCTCAATAAATGTTTTAGGTAATCAGTGTAAGGACAGGTGGTGAGAACAATTTATTGTCTTACTGCTATCTTGTCGTCTGACAAAGAAGTGCTTGTATTTCTGCCTTTGGGTCATATGTGCCTCAGGATCCTGGTTCTGACCAAAGCATCTTCATGCAATTGGAGATTATGAAAATATCTGAAGCTATAGAGGTGACAACAAGATGGAATATCTAGGCTGTCATATTCATTTCTGTTTTAGTTCCACAACTGAGTATAAAAGTGTACAAGAATGTACCCAAATCATGTGACCTGGTGGACTAATTGGGAAGAGAAGATGATTTGTAGCTTAGAATATTTGTTATTTCATATTAACTAAACACAGATACTTCTGTTTCATGGAAGTCTTCTCTCTATAATGGCTTTGAAGAAAAAACAGGAAAGACTTCTGTGTCCATTTCTTAGTTCTTAATATTTTAGGGATTACATTCTACCTACTTCCAAGGAGGAATTTCAGGTAATTATTTACTGAAGTATGCATTGTTTCTGTAAGTGATCAAATGAGACCCCTTCTTATTCATTTTTTTTTTTTTGCTTGTCCTTTAATGCAATTTTGTTTGCTTTTGTTTTCTGCCTGCTTCATCTCTTCCAAAAGAAGAGCAAATAATTCTGCTGAGGTTGAGTGTTGGGGAAAGCTTTGTATTTGGGGTCAAATGG